CAATTTTTAACCGTTATGTTAATGACTAGAACTTGTTACCTAATTCTATTACGCCGGCTCCCAGTTTAAATGTCTTTAAAAATCGATTATTTATCTTCGTACTTAGTTGTTTTTTTTTGTATTATTTACTATAAATTAATGTATTTAGATTTTATTGTATTATTTATTATAATTTACTATATTTAGATTATGTCAAGACAAAGTAGTTCCTACGTTTTCTTTCTTATCTAAATGTGTGGTAATGCATTAGACATTTCTTTTCATTTTATCAAATCTTCTAACTTGGAGAGCAGTTTTTACATGGGAATTCCGTTTCCCCCTTTTGCTGTCTTTTACCTTCTGTACCTTTTTTATTGTTTATTATTCTTAATGTACAGTGGTAAAAAGCATTATTAAACTTAAACATTAAACTTAAAGAGAATTTCTGATGAGATCTTGGAATGTAAAGAGTAAACACATTTGCTTTTCTTTGACTGACTTTTTAGAGGGGTAAATGATGCAAGGGGTGGACTTGTCAAAAACAGGATTCAAGTTTGACTGAAGACATAAGGAAAAAGAAATCAGATTGAAACATTACTTCCAACTGTGGTAAACTGTATTAAATAGCATTTCCCTTGTTTGCTCTTTACACCCTTACGTCAGAATGTATTTTCTCCCCACTGCCCCCTAGATGTCCCCTGTGTTGCTGACAAGATTTTGTTTAACAATCGTAAGCTTCTTTAGTTGGTGATCATTTCTTCTATCCTCATTACTTTAATATTTGATACAGGGGTGATATTGTAAGGAGAAATTAGATGTTAGTCACTCCAAGGCCGAGGGGCTACTATGCTCATATTGGTAACTGTACCTGTCTAGTTGTAACAACTGCTTCTATGAAATGCACTCTTTTAATAACTAGACTTCCTGACAACTACAAACATGTGGCGTTCCAAAGCGGAATACACATGTACAAACTGAACTACAATTGTTGGAGTGGTGGACTTGATATTACACCAGCAAGAAAGAAAAATCAGTTAAAAAAAAACTGTCTATCCTGTAAAACATCTGACAGTAATTATATTATTGATGATTATAGGAATGATAGAAAATAAATTTCATTATTTTGATTATCTCATGATTGCTTTCTCTAGAGTTGTGGATGTATTAATTATCATAACTGGGCAGCATTTAAATACTCTAAAAACCTTTTTTTTGCTTCTGTTAAGCAACCAGTTGATCTTTAGGGGTCATTAAAATTAATTATCAAAACTAGGCAACGGAAATATGTATGTCTGAAACTTCTCAAACCCAACTAGTATACTCAACACCATTTGCTTATTGCCCTGTTATTTGTTTTATTTTCCCAACTTATGAAGTTGACATTTCAAATGAACACTTCACTGGAGCATTGAATGACACATGTATATATATCTATAGACTAAAGAAAAATTAAAAAATGCAATGTCATGCCAAGATAATAAAAGGAGATAAAACTGAAAGAACTTAAATGCAGCTAAAACAATTGACAGTTGAAAAGGTGGAATTTTCAACATAAATGGTACCTGTATTTAATGATAGGAAAGCTATTACAAGAGAAAAAGTAACCTACAACTGAATACAAATGCTTATAATGCACTTACTTTAAGGAGCAAAAATATTTTTAAGTAAGAAAACATTTTTTTTTTTTAATTCAGTGAAAGAGGATCAATGGATATAACCCATGTAACCAAGATAAATTAACATTCATTATTTGTCCTAACCTACACCAAATTAGAAATTCATGCAATGAAATGAGGGTTCTAGCCCTCTAGTAGTCTTCAAAATTTCCATGCAGGGGGTGGTTGTGGCTACTGTAGAAGAACCACACTTTAGGGCCTATTTGAGGGCACTTAGAGAGGGTTTTTTCTGGAAACTGTCTTACCAACAACTCTTTTAGTTTGAGAGTTTCTCACATAGGGCTTTAAGAACTTTTTGTATTAAGGTCAAGAAGGTCTGATTTTTTTCTCAACTCTGGTCCCTCCAAAAGCAACCTCTTGGTGACAAATCTCATGACATCTGGACGAGTTTTACATTTGGAAACCTCACTTGTATAGGAGCTTCTGTACTCTGTCCTAAGGCATTTTTTCACTAGCTCCTTTTTTCTGGCATCGTTGTGGTCCAGCTGGACAGCTGACAGGCAATCTTCTAGAAGAAATGTGGAAAGATTATAATTTGTTTTCTTTTCAAACAAAATGGCTTTTTTAAGTTGCCCTTTCTACCCAAATGTTCTGTCTTGCCTTAATGTTTACACGATGCATACAATAACATGGATTCATTTGAAAGAACAACTGGTATTCTTATAGGGAACAAAGGATTATGAAACACATCTGTACTTAATACATATGCATCATTGACCTGGTGTGAGGTCAAGATGGTTGGATTTTGGCTGAGTCCTATCCTCATTTTATGGACTGCAGAATGTGGAAGATGTATATGATATTCAGACCCCTTTAAACTGATCTGATTTATCTAAGGTAATGATTTTAGATGAAATGAAGAAAAAATTGTTAAAGATAAAATGGCTAGAAATAAAATAGATAAAAAATACTGTTGATGGTTTTGGTCAATGATTCAGTAGTTTAATGGGGGATGTCCACTCCTGACTGCATCCACCAAAACAACAAAACACCTTCACCCCTATAAGATATTTGAAATGTCTGCTTAAAAATTGTGCAGAATGTTTTAGAATCTACCACTGAACAATAAATTAATACTTAGTAGTTTTTGGTTGAGATATTTTGACACAATTTCCCAAAGAAGTGATACACTCAAGTCATCAGGATATTTCAGCGTGTTTTCACAGCTTTAGAGTATCCCCATCAACAACAATCTTTATTTGTATTCCCCCTTGCCTGTGTCAAGTTAAAAAACAATATTGAAAATAAATAGTAAGAGTACCGGCTGTCTGGAATAACTATAGGGGCTAGCAGAGCCAGGCAGCCAGTAGACAACAACATTAAATGAAAATAGATTAATGGTCAGCAAGATGGCACAAATACACATAAAAAGAAAGGAAAAGAAGAGGAAAATGCTGTCGCTACACTATTAGAGAAGTCTAAAATAATTATATTAAAACATAAGTATAAATCATTAAATTAAAAAAGTACACACATAGTAAATAATTATTACAACTAATAACATTATAATATTATATATATAAACTATAAAACGACTTATATCGAGGCTTAGAAAGGTTGACAGAATTTAATGAAAGAATAATTACCCAGATAATTTGGGAAAACACACAACTGTAATCTAAGATAATATGAAAATGTACTGTATATCTAATAATCATTAATGAGATTGCATTTGACTGATTCTTTAAATTTTGAAAGAAAAAAGGATTTAGAGTTGTCACTTATAGAGTTCCATACTTAAGGACCCTTAAACCCTATGTTGAATTTGCCTTAATTTGTTCTTACATTTTTTAAAGTGTGGAACATATTCAAAGCACTTCTGGTGTAGTAGTTCTGTCTTTTATTGACTCGTGTAAAGAAAGTACATGTATAAAAAACAGATGGTAGATGTCTGTTGCAAAATTTGTACATAAAGACCGCAATATTAAGAAAACAACAAGCTTCCATTCCTCGGTATGATGATTGAGAAAAACGGTTGCCACCTGACAACAAGCGTATATCATAAACCAACTGATACAGGACTGCTCTTACATTACCAGAGCCATGTCGATCAGCGTTACAAAAGATCTCTGCTGAATACAATGCTGAACCGAGCTTACCGCCTGTCATCAACGAAAGAATCTTTTACGAAGGAATGCCAGCATCTCAAGCGGATGTTTACTAAGCTTAAGTACCCAGTGAAACTCATCAACTCAGCTATCGCCTGGTACACGAGTTCTACGATCCAAAGCCGTCACGAAACCCCAACTGAACTTGACGCGGCTACACAAAAACCTGTCAGAATAACTTTACCATTTAAAGACCAAAAATCGGCCGACACAGTAAGACATCAGCTGAAAGATCTTGGCCGGAAAATCGGAACTGACCTACAACCAGTTTTCACGAGTCGTAAGATCGAGGGAAAGCTCAAGATACAAGAAGAGAAGCCCGCTTTAATTAACCACCAATGCGTTGTTTACACTTTTAAATGTGATTCGTGCGATGCGGATTATATCGGTTATACCACACGCCATCTTCATCAACGCATAGAAGAACATAAAGCCTCTGTCATTGGCAAGCATCTGAAAGAAGCCCACAGTGTAGCGTCCACTAGCCTAGAGGAAATGTTTTCCGTTCTCAAGAAATNAGAAGTATCCATATCATAATGCTCATTCATTAAATTGAATTTAAAAACAACATTCCTCATGTAGACTTCTGTGAAATAGACTTAATTACAACTAATAATGGGAACCCAAGAGTAATTGGATGGAATAAGTTTGATAACTGTTGGAGATCTTTTCCAGTTAAAACCAGTTCTTGATGAGTGGAATTTTGAAAATTGTCAATCTGGCTATAATGCTTTAGCAACTATTATTTTGGAGAGAATACTTCACCCTCTTCGAATAAACAGAAATAATGAGACAAAAAGACGACAAACAATTTGCAGAGCTACTTAATGGTGTGTGAGAGGGAAAACACTTGGAAGGTTAGGAGGTAAAAACGATTTTGGAAGCCCATTTGTTTAAGACTGACTGCCATCTTATTTTTCCCCATGGTATCTTCTCAGAATTAAACATTAAGGTCATTAGAATAACACAAATGATCGCCAATGAAAGAAGCTCTCACTTGTTAGGGTGTAAAAAGGTACCAGTAATTATTGACCATAATTATTATCAGCATAAATTTATCTCTTAATTCTTTGACATTTTCATGCCCTAATACATTGATAGAATAGTTTGATATGTAGTAAAACTATTCATTTCCTGAAGTAGGAACAGTCAACAGAGGCTAGACACCATGGTTTTCATCAGCTTATGCTCAGTTAGGTTTGTTTAAAGTCGTGGCTAAGCATCAGCTTGAGAAATCATGGGTAAAATGCCAAGGAAAACATTTGAAAAACAAAAGGAAAAGCAAACAACAGAACATGGAATTATGACTGATTACTTCACTTGTCCCAAATGGAACCTTAAGGGAATGAAAAAGTCAGGTGAATTTTTATTGTTTTTGTAGCTGGATGCTTACCTCACAGTCTGTTGAGCTGTACTCAAGCTTGATGATTATGATTATGTCAACGTGCTTGTTGTCTACTTCCAAATGGTAATTAAGTATTAATGTAATGCAAAGTACATTTTATAATATTCAGAATTAAGTTATAAAGCCCTCAACTGTCCAAGCTTCTCCATATTTTTCTTTCTTTTTGTTTTTGGGTTTAAGACCTGGGGCCCATTTCTCAAAAGACCTGGTAACTTATTGGGCTTAAAGCCATATTTTAAAATCAAAATGTAAAGGGTAGGAAAGCAGGTTCTGGTACCCAAACCGGTGTTTTTTGTTTCTTTAGCTGACAGTTTTATTTTTAGTATCATGTTCAAAACTTTTGAAATCCCTATCTTGAATGAAAACTGAACAGCTTAAGGGGCCCGTTAAGTTACTGGGACTCTCTGTGCCCAGGAGTAAAATGGGGTACCGGTTGACTGTCATAGTAGTCTGACAAAATGTTGGAGGTGCTTTGTTCACCATAGAGTTCTCTCTAGCTGTAGAACAGGGGTCTGAATCCAAACATCTCAGGTTTGATTCCTTATGGGAATTCATCTTTTTTTGTTTGAGGCTCATCACAAGATTTAAAAAAAAAACATATTTTATAATTACATCTTGTTGACTCAGAGATCAGGCCTTACTTATTTCCATGGGGAGGGGGTTGGGGAAACTTTGGTTGTGTCACAGTAAACTTTAACTGATCCCCCTCCCCACCCCCCTAAGGCTCCAAAGAATTCTAATGATACTTCCTCGTTGGCGGTCAATTGTCTATAGTCCCCCTCCCCTTTATATTCTGTTAGCAAGGAATGATACCCTGTGTTCTTCCAAAAACCCATGGTACCCCCTCAAAAAAAATCCTTTGATGATCCTTCTCCCCCTCCCCAGCAATAAATAATGACTAGTCATTTAAACACCAAATTCTCAGAACTACCTTTATGATGAATATACAGCTGATATTTAGGAGAATTACTAAATTGATCTTGGATGCACCGCAGTTGAATATAACTTGTACCAAAGATTTCTAAGCTCATGTAGTAAATTTGTTCTTAATTGCAAGGAAGAGAGACAATCATGGCGCCAAAAGTTAATTGAGATGTTTGGTTGTATGTGTGGCTTGGAGAAGGAAATTCTCTCCCAACTTCTGTGTTCTGTCTTGGCTACAGAACTGGCAATACAGACTATGAACAGGAAGGTGGGTAAGTAAAGTCTAAGTTGTGCATGTGTGACTGATTTAAAAAAAGACCATATTAAAAGAGGCATATTTTTAAACTACTCCCAAAAAAATTTTTACCTACGAAACATGCAAAGAAAATAAATAACACACAAAAAAGGGAAGGATACACGTACCTAGAGAGATAGACACAGATGCTCAGACAGATTGAAAGACAGGTAGACATTGGAATATAGACTGATTAGCTCAGGAATACAGGTAGATGGACAGGCTTAGACATAAATCTGAAAGGAGAAAGTCAGTGAGATCCAAAGATACAAGTATGCAGGTAGCAGGCAGATAGTTAGACTGATGGTTAGACAGTAAGACATACAGACTCACCAACTGACCTACCAATAATCAGGCAGACAGGCAGTGAGACGGTTATCAGACAGACAGACAGACAGAGTTACCAACTGACCCACCAACAGGGAGGTAAACAGACAATTAGGTGATCAGACAGTCATTTAAACAGACAACCAGATAGTCAGACCTACCAACTGATCCACCAACAGACAAGCAAACAGACAATCAGACAGTCAGACCGTCATTCGGACAGTCGGTCAGACAGTCAGATAGACAGACTTACAAACTGACCTACCAACAAGCAGGCAAATAGATATTCAGACAGACAGACAGTCAGACAGTCTGACGGTCATAAGACAGACGGCCAGACAGACAGACGCACCAACTGACCGACTGACCATCAGGCAGGCAACTAGACAACGAGCAGACACGCAGGTTTGATTTTTTAAAACTAATTATACTTCAGCAGTGAGAATATAAATCGGTGACTATAGTTTTTAGATCTTAAGGCATAAAATTAAAAAAAAAGTATTTTTATAGGATTACACAATTACTAGTGAACCAGTAGTTTCCATTGTGGTCCTTGCAAACAAATGAAACAAATGGTCTAAATTGAACATAACATCATTAAGAACATCATTAAAAACCCCAGCTGGCCGGAGGCAAACCAGCTGGCTAGTTACAATCGTGGCCAAGGATCTGAACTCGGGGCTACCGTGAAACAGATCCAGTGGTCAGGGTGGGACTCGAACCCGGGAGCAGCCGATTACGAGTCCGACACTCTAACCACTCGGTCACACTGGCTCCAGTGGTGGCCTAATTTGATTTGAAAAAATGGGATAGCAACCATGTGATATGAATATTTCAGGTGCTTCAATGCAGCGGTACTGTGCAGTATTAATGACCATGATTTTTTCAACTGGAGAATCTGTTCCATTTCCCTTTTATGGTGAGTCCCTTTTTTTTTTCTTCTTTCTCTTTTATATCGATTGTGTTGTTAGATCGTACGGCTGAGAGGGTATAGTCGTGAGAGGGACTGTTGTTGATGATACTTAGCGAATTTCTGATTACTTCAGCAGTACTCCTTATTTGTATCAAAATCAAAATCAAATCAAATCAATTTATTAAAGTCATAGCGTGGGATTGAGGTTGCCCTCAGTATCCGAGCCAGAGGCTCGTGTATAAAACGCATGACAAAAACAGAATAAAATAAATAAATGAACAATTGTTATCTAACTATAATAAACTAGATAAAATCAATAGTAAATACATTCTCATCAAGCCTAAAATTGTGACATGAACATTAAAAACAATTTACGATTGGCAATAATTACATAGACAACTAGTCCTTAAATTTAAAAGATTAATAGATTCCAAATTTTTATGAAATGCATTTAAATTGGGTGACCACGCGCCAATTCCGCGCCAACGACCACGCCCCAATTCCGTTCCGCTCCGCATACTTCTGTCTCGCACTCCCCGTAAATAAATATCCGCGAAATTCGGCCGCACTGAAATAACAGTTCGGCGTGTTGGATAATAAATAACTTATTAGACGTTTTGTTGTGTAGTATCGCTGAGTATTTTTACTCGTTATTTGTATTTTGACTCGCCCTACGGGCTCGTCAAAATACGGCACAACTCGTAAAAATACTCAGCGATACTACACAACAAAACGTCTAATAAGATATATGTAATCTACGTCTTTTCCGACATTTAAAAGAACCCTTAATGCATAATAATTAGCAGCTTGAAGTTTATTAGCTAGGGTCTTATTTATACCCAATAAAAGTGGACTACAGTATTCCAGATGGGGTAAAATATAACTCTTGTATAAAATTAGTGCAACATCAGGAGGTACTAGTCTCTTCAATCGCCTCAGAGCTCCAATTTTAGCATAGACCTTCTTCAGAGTCAAGTGTGGAGTTTCGTCGTCAATTGTGAAAACTGTTCAGTTCGTTGTTTGTGTTAGTATCTTGAGTAAGTCGTTTGTATGATGGTAGTACAGTCTAACCTGCATGTAGAACTGTTTTTGTTTCTGTGATCAACAGACCAAGTAAATGATTCATTTGTGCAGTTCCTTATTGATGCCATTGAAAGCGCTGAAGATGATGAAGAGTTAGCGGAGACCTTTGTGCCTCTTAAACTCGCATTTAACCAACGCTTTGTTGGTAAAGAGATTCTGTATTACATAAACATTAAAACCCTGAGGGAGGAGGGGATGGAAAGGAGGCATCGCCCCCCCCTCGCAATTCACCGATGGTCAATTTTATAACTCAGTTGATACGCGCGCTATGTTAGGACACTTCATTGGGCCGTGTTTCTCCCCCCCCCCCCGTTTTTCTTTTTTAACACAGAAATATAATAAAATCTTAAACAAAGCTCAAGGTTACAGAATCTTTTTTTTTTCGACTTGGATTTATGGCCTCCGCGCTTGGGCCGTTAATGCGGTTCGTAACTTACACTGTGGACCTTAAAGTCGGTTAGCAAGAGGTATTATTAAAACGCCAATGAAATACCGGGTGAGCTTTCGCGCTAAAACGTGATATCTTCACACAGAAAATAACTTGTTATCTTAGATTATCTTCACACGAAAAATAACACCGTTACTATTGTTACAAAATAAATCGCGCCTTTCGCAGCGAAAGTGAAATCGTTTGGTTTTTCATCGGTGTTTCCATAGTAAATAGAATATTACATGGCCGCTTGGAGATGTCAAATTTCTCTTGTGTTGAGAAATATTTCGCAAACGAGTAAAAGATTTTTTATCACTCAAAGAGAAATTTCGTTTCTCTTAGCAGCCATGTAATATCCTCTATATGCTTCCTTACTCGCTTCTACTGTAGATTAACAATATGTTTGTTGCAAGGAGTAGTTTTCTGTTGATGACTCTCTCAAGCGGGGCCGACTGGAACACGGTTTTGAACGTTCCAATGATTTTCTGGGGTGGAACTTACTACAATTTATCTCTCTTACTTACAGATTTCCCGAGTAACATCGTAATGAGAGTCTTGGCATCTCGCAGCACTGCCAAAACACTGAGTGAGAAGATCATGTTACTTATCAACAGAGAAGGTTGGTCAGAGATAGCAACAATGCACAATTAGTCTTGATGATCTTCTGATGCATCTGTCAATTGTTTCCGAGCGTTTTTTCCCGGGGGAGGTTGATGAGGGGTATGAGTGGGTGTGTGGGCTCATCGCCCATTAAGACATGCCCAACATACACACACTACTCAGACTTCCGAAAATGTTCTTTGTGCAATGTTGGGACAATGAAATCTCTTTGCAATCTGAATTGTGTTCATTGTGTCTGTAATATATATTCAACAAAGCATACGTTAAGTGACCAGTCACATCGCCGGGGGGAAAGTGGAACAAGAGGATTTTGGGGGGTACCACATGGTTTTCAGGGGGAATGGAGGGGGTATCAGTCGTCACCAACAGAGTACTATAGAAAATGGACTGTCATTGAATGACCTCCACCCCCTCGCGCAGGGCGACCAATAAAGACCTTTACTTAATTAAACAGTTGAAAAAAACGTCTTATAACATATTCTTTCAAAAGTACGATCCTGATGATTTAAAAAAAAAAAAACATTACCAGGCTGATTTTACCCCTTACGTCAGTATACATCTTGTCTACACTGTTCTCTATAAATTTCCTATGATTGCGACAAGGAGAATTTGTCTATCACCAAGAGATTCTTCATCTAACCACTCAGAAACTTCCTCATTTGTTTATCGCCTTTGCAAAGTTAGCAGCTTTAAATTCGGGCTCCGAAAAACGATTTGAGGCCTGTACGAAGGCCACAGTCATGAGCTCCTTTAGTTGGTGATTTGTTATTTTATTATTTTTATTTTTGTATCCTCATTGCGTTAGTGTTTGATTCACCGCGAATCGTGTAAGTTTGGGAACGAATTGACTGAGTACGAAACGTCGTTGGGTAAGAAACGACTGAATACCAAAACATGATATTAATGATTTTTATTCATGTTTTTTACAGAGGATCCCACTGCCTAGTTCCAATATCCTCGAAGTTCTCCTGATTCAGTGCTCAAGTTTGTGACAGACATCTTTTCGTCTCAAGATACTTCGGAGTTTTTTTACACCTCAGATATGAAAATCCTGATAGAGATTGTTCTACGACAGCTGACGGATCTTTCTCCTGGGGCTGGGGTCGGTAATCAAAGCACCTTTTTTTTTCTGTACGTTTTGTAATCCATCAAATAATTTTATTCGCACGGGTCTCGTCTAGATGCATTACATGGCCGAATATTCGCCAGTCAACACTGGGGAATATGCTTTGATGAACCCTAAGTGATATTCCCCAATTTTAAACCCTAAATCCAATACGGTAAAAGTCTTCGTTTAAAATTTATCTCAAGATGAGACAGCAATTAACTGCTGTTACAGAAGAAGGGTGATGTATTTTGATTCATAATCAAGAACATGTTCAACCTCTTTTCTGATTATTAAGATTTTGCCGATTATAAACGACTTTTTTATTATATTTTTGGCAATCCCACCATGTTAAAAGACGTTGAAAAGTAAATAACATGGTGTTATCAACTAAATTGATAACTACCAAATACCATGCCACCGTAGCGGTTTCCTAAAGCTGACATTTTTAGCGTTAGCCCTTCGTTAAAGCGAGAGATGAAGAGCTGACGCAGGAAAAGTCAGCTGTAGGAACTCTGTACATTGGCTCATTGACCTTATCAACTCGGTTGATAAAACCCAAGTAACCTGTGATACCTCCACCGACGCGGCAGTAGAGTTTCTTTAAAACCTTACCCCCTCCATCCATTTTCTCTTAGATAGTAGAGATGAGTTTCCTAACTGAGGCGAATTGTTTTTTTTCCTATAGATGAGAACGTAGTACATATCATTACTACATCAAATCCTGTTGAATTCTAACTACAGTGAACACAAACATCAGGCCAGTGAACTCCTCACTTGTCTGACGAGAATCAGAAAGGAAGAAGAAAAAGAAGGCGAACAAGACAGACCTATTGCCCAAGAAATACTCAAACACTCGTCGAAATATTTTTAATTTTCAGTTGGGCGTCGGAAGTAACCTGGGATCGCTTTGGTTTGGTTTTTCTTTGCTCTCTGATTGGTCTAGACAACTCACGTCATACATACAACCAATCAGGTGCAATCTGTAGTTAATGACGCTTTGACCTCTCGCATTTTCCCGCGTATGCCTTTACTTTGAGTTCTGAGATATTTTCCTTTGCCTTGATTGATCGATACGATCATTTTGGTGTTAGCCTTGCAACAACCAACCCAAAGGTCCTTTAGAATGAAATTATGCTTATTCAACTGTTTTTTACATATTTTTGCTGCAGACTTTAAATTATAACTTGAAGCTTCCCTACGCAAAAAGATGTTATATGCTAATAAAATTATTTTGAAGATATGCTATCACTTTTTAAAAAGAAACATATCTTTGGGAATTGTAAGAAATCCGTTTGGTTGTAGTTCACGCTTTTCTTAGCGAGCAATCATTGTTTATCACCGGCCAGGGAATGGGGGAGGGGAGGGTCAGAGGATTTTGCTGGTTTCACCGTAACTTTTACGTGAACTCGTCTATGGCTCTGTAATACTATGATCCCCACTCATGGCAGTTAATTTTCTATGGCTCTCCTTCTATACCCTGTTAACCACGACTGATCCCCCTTCCTTCCCCTTAAAAACCATGTGATCCCCAAAATCCTTACAACCCTCCCATTTCCGGCGAAAATTAATGACTCGATCCTTAGTTTCACTGGAAGTTTTCTTTTGTATGAATCCCGATACCAGGTCGAAACTAACTCACTCTGCAGCCCCACTTGTAGTAGTTCGAGTCCAAAACGATGGCGAAGATTGTTCAATAGAAAATTTGCAGTTGATATTGAGAAGGAAACTATCCCACGTTCACAATCTAGAGATTATCCACAATCTAGAGATTATAGGATGGTGACTTGGATGCATGCGGGCACTAGCCTGCATGTTAAACTGCTTGCATTGTCTTTAGCCAGGCTGGCTTAGCTTGAGGGCGGGCAATGCCCATCTTCAAGAGAAAACCTAGCCACAAGGCTTTTGCAATGTCAATCGAGCTCTCTTCCCCAAAGGCATGCTTTTAACACTCATTAGCCATGGAATGTCAGCAATGTGGCTGACGTTTGACTGGGTACAAAACTGACTACCAAGCCTGCAATGCAGTCTTTGAATCACGATGAATAAGACAAGCCTCTTCCAGTCTCAGAGAAAAATGCCAGCTCGGCGAGGGGTTTCAAACTTTTTGAAACTCCTCGGCCTACCCTCCCTTTTCCCTGAGCTTTTCACCCAGAGCTATTCACAACCCACCCTTGGATAGATTGGTGGCTGGGCTGCACGCGGACTGCCTGCCAACTTTAGAAAGTTTCCGTACAGATTTGCAGATCACAATCGCTGGACCAATTTTGGCCTCAAAGTTCGTGTTTTATCCGTCTAACTTGAAGTATTCTTAAGTAGATGTATTTTACAATTTGTGCCTTTATCTTGCATATCGCTGTTTCTCGACAGTTTTCTTCACAATCGGGTTCTCAGCCATTGCGTCCATTCAGTGATAAATTGATTTCACTCTTTTGCTCTTCTGGCCGACAGCTCATTCAGTTTTGGGCACTCTGATTGGTTTCTAGCACTATTTGAGCACTATTTGGTGACTTTTATGATAATCAATGACATGATCACAAAATTAGAATAAATTTATGATTCTCTCTGACAAACTTCACAAATATCTTTGTCGTACCGTAAATGCAATAAATCACTCTTTCTTTCGATTTACCAGCTTAATATACCACTTGGGATGTTGGAAGAACACTAGAAAAGTGATAATACCACTCGGCTGCGCCTCGTGGTTTGCAAACTTTCCTCGCGTTCCCCCAACGTCCCGCGTTGTTTACTACTTCGGTAAACCGATCGAAAGTGTGGTTTATTACTTGAGGTGATTCCTCAGAAAAAGGAATTATCGGAAAATTAACTTCTTTTAAACTTTCCTTTAATGTTCCCTATCAATGTCTGTTTCGCGGAAAAATACAATGAAAAGATAGGTCACCGTGCTTGCCTAAGAGATGTGATGAGCCAGTCTTACCCCATTTACGCCTGTTTTAATACCTGCAGAGGACCTCGATCTAACGAACCTTTATATAATGAAGTCCTCGGTATAACGAACCAATTTCTCCAGTCCCTTGGTACTTCGTTAAATCGAGGTTCTACAGTGTATTACGGTCGTCATCTCATCGATTCACGGTACATTTTGCGATAGCTGGAAGCTTGTAAACTTGAAAAAAATACTTGATTGGTGGAAAGTCTCAAATGTTTGAAACAACTTGATGCATCATTTATGGAAAATTACGCAATTTTAAACGAAATCGGCTAAAAACATTCCTCCAGTCGTTAGTTTGAAGGTCTTAACTTGCATCCTCGAGTAACAAGCTTCCTGCACGCTTTCAGCTCTATTGTATCATCTATTTACAATTTACCAAGAAGAGTAGAATAGACAAGTTATGAAAGAGAGGGAGATTAAAAGACTGAAGAAGAAGGCGTTAATTGTTTATTTTAATGTAACCTACAACTTTGAATGTGATTGGTCGACATAAACTACAACTTTGAATGTGATTGGCTTATTAACCTGTCCGATAAAAAAAAACTCTCCAATAACAAACTGTCTGATAACAACTTGGCAAGTGAATTATTGAAAATAGGAGTTTTTTAACCCTATCACAATCCCGAAAATTCTAATTTTAACAATTACTCCAATTTAGAAGGGGATAATTCATCCACCAAAATAATGAAATAAAAAGTATAGATCACTCTACCCGTTTACGAGCAGAAGACCATCGTGCCTGTTTACGACGTTCATCGATTAAAAAACAATACCATGTTCTCGGAATGCCCGCACTTCTTCGCCTGATTAAGTGATTTTTATGTGTAGTACACAATGCACAGTACAATACTGAGGAATCACCGTGCAAACATACCGTGACGTGTGCAATTTCAATTCAATTCAAAGTTTCTGTCCAGTTTAGTCGCAAGGTTTCAGAACTTTCACGATTGTTTGTTCGTTCCATCCCGACTGAGATAGACCTTGTGGAGCTAAAAATGAAAAGGAACTATGCTTAATAATACTCGACTCGGGAAACAGTAGACTTGTAGCTCTTTC